GCACTCTAGTGCCCAAACGGTGCCAGATAGAGTCAAACGGACAAAATTTTCGCCCAGAGGGCTCTACTTTCACGAGTTACCCCTTAGGAGACCATAAAAAAAATATTTTTTTCCTACTTTTTGGACCAACCCCTATTTCTTTGTTACCCCCTTTCACCCCCTTAGGGGTGGTTGCCAGGATTTGCACCAGGCGTTTCGTTGTCCAGGAGTGACCCCTAAGATACCCTGAAATTTGTAGACCTCTAGCTCATCTCCTTCCTCTTACACGGACGACAGACAGACGGACAGACAGACACGAGAGCGGTTGCATAAGCCCGCTTTAATGCTTTTTTAAAAGCAGAAGGGCGGGCTAAAAAACACAAATAATTCTCAAATATGTGAGATAGCTCGAATAAAAGTAGGCGAAAACCCCAGAACACATATTGATCTGTAAATTAATTTCCAATATTTTCTTTCATCAGCTCATTGAACCAGGGCGTTGTTTGGTGTCCTGCTTCGCAATGAGGATATTAGTGTCGGACTGGCCAGGGAAGTAGGGCAACGGAGGAGGGGCGGGGGTATCTTACCTCTACCAAGAGGTGCGAGTGCGATCAACCGCAAGTGTTTCCATGGAAAATGCAATGATGTCAGATGACGCGAATAAAGTGGGACGCGGAACCTCTGTAGGTTGACTTCGTTCATTTGACGATTCATTTGCGGCGTGGTTGGTGTTCAGCCCCGCTCTGAAAGGGATTAGTGACGACAGCAATCACCTTCCTCCTCTATTGTCCCTCTTGGGTGCTTGAGTGCTGCGCGGCGCGGCGCCGGGCGGGCCGGCAGGGACGGGACTGGACGGGTGAGCGGAAGAGGGGAGGGGGAATGGGCAGGCGGAGCTGAGCGGCTGGGCTTTAACGGAGGTGTCGTGGAAGTGGGGCACTCGCTTTTCGCAGAAAAGTGTGGACTCGAGCAGCAAATGAAATGACACCAGACAACGAGTGATGCTGTAGATACCGGTCGCATTTGAGACCGGCACAATTAAATCTTGATGGGAAAGGCACTAATTATTATTGATTTTCAAATAGTTATTGATTTTCAAATAGACGCTGAATATATTTGGCGCTTAGTGGCCATGGTTGACCATCGTATGGTCACGCCTTGCGCCCGGTACGCTGCTACTGAGAGAGGGTGGAGTTCGAGGTGAGAGACACACCTTCACACCTTCTTACCTCTACCAAAACAGCGAGTGGAAAATCAAAACGATCCTACAGAGGTGCGCACCGCGAGTGCTTTCAAAATGCAATGATGTCAGATGATGGGAATAGAGTGGGACGCGGAACCTCTGTAGGTTGACTTCGTTCATTTGGCGATTCATTTGCGGCCTGGTTAGTGTTCAGCCCCGCTCTCGAAGGGATTAGTGACGACAGCAATCACCCGTCCGCCTCCTCTATTGTCCCTCCTGGGTGCTGGGCGCGGGGCGGCCCGGCAGGCCAGGACAGGACAGGTGAGCGGAGGGGGGAGGGGGAAGGGGCAGGCAGAGCTGAGCGGTTGGGCTTCAACGAGGTCTTGTGGAAGGGAGGCACTCGCTTTTCGCGGAAAAGTGGCGACTGGACCAGCACATAAAATGACACCAGATGTCAACGAGTGATGCTGTGGTTACCGGTCGCATTCGAGACCGGCGAAACGCTGACTTTGGCGCGTTAAAGTCACGGCCCGACACGTGACCATCGTATGGTCACGCCTCCCGCATAACCTGGTGCGTGACCATCGTATGGTCACCCCTTCCACCGGAGGGTCCTATGGGCGGTCTTCTAGAGGCGCTCAGCACGAGCCCGTAGCACAGCCTAGTGGCGCTGAGCGCCCCAGGGGTAGCCCTCTAGGGAGAACAACGCGCGCGCGCGGGGCTGAGGCCACTAGCGCCCCTACCCGGCGTCCTTTAAATGCAGACTTCTAGAGGCGCTAAGCGAGAGCCCGCAGCTCAGCCCAGTAGCGCCCAGCACCCTAGATGTAGCCCTCTAGGAAGGCCAGCGCGCGCGCGGGTCTGAGGCCACTAGCGCCCCTACCCGGCGTCCTACAGGTGCGGACTTCTAGAGGCGCTTAGCGTGAGCCCGCGGCTCAGCCTAGTAGCGCCCAGCATCCTAGATGTAGCCCTCTAGGAGGCCAGCGCGCGCGCGGGGGGCTGAGGCCACTAGCGCCCCTACCCGGCGTCCTACAGGTGCGGACTTCTAGAGGCGCTCAGCACGAGCAGCTTTGATGTTGCCTTTTACGTCTAGGAAGTGGCGCCCCTCGCCCAGCGTCCTAGATGCGCTCTTCTAGTGGCGCCCAGCGCCGTAGACATGGCTCTCTACGGCGCTCAGCGCGCGCGCGCGCAGCTGCCAGGCTAGTGGCGCCTCCGTCTAGTGTGCTAGATGCAGTCATCCAGTGGCTCCTAGCACGGGCCCGCGGCTCAGCCTAGCGGCGCCCTAGAGAGTAGCGCCCGCCCGCGCGCCACACACGGAGAGCCTTGCGCCCCAGTGGCCATACTCTAGAGGCGCCCACTAATCGCCACGTCACGACAGGTGTCCCGCGAAGAACTAATGAGGGTCACAAGTGGCAGCATCCGGGGCCACAATGTGGTCGCGACCCAGGGTCGGGTAGGTGGGACAGACACACACTAAGTGTTCAAATAAGAAGCTTTGTGAAGTCTAATTTTTTAACTCACCGTACTGAAGATCTTGCACGACTAGATGTCAGCGATGCCCACCAGCAAGGGTGAAAGGTGGGCGTGCCCTCGGCGCGAGGCCCCGAGGAGGCCCCCGACGTCGGGGCTGCGAATTCGCCGGCCCAGCCCAGCGGCCCGCCGTCTGACCTGCTGCCCCCCTCCCCGCACCCTCCCGGGCCCCGAGCCCCCGAGCACATCGGCAACAGTGCAGCCTGCGCCGGCCTGCGCCCGACTGTCTGCCGCGCCCGGAGCGCGGGGTATCGACTCAGGCGGGGTCAATTCTTTCTGGACACATAGTACATTAAAATCTAGAACTACTAAACGTATTCTGAAAGTGACCTGCGAAATTTTAGAAGGAAGGCAAGAGGTAGAACTTGGGATATCGACGATAGGATGTTTGCACTTGGAATATACAAAAGGAGTCCCAGGGTGTATAGGTTTCTTCAGCAGCATATGATTCTCCCATGTGAAAGTACATGAGAAAATTTATTGAAGGCTATTCCTCTTGAAGTTGGTATTTCCAAGCCTTTGCTAGCACTGCTGACATGGTCTTCAAGCAGTGGCGAACCAATGGGGGTGCTGTAGCAGAGCTCAAATCTTCAACAGGAGATAAAATATTTTGTGAAACTCATGAAAATAGGATGATCCACATTTATGATGTTCCCCATCCCCACATTTTAAAAAAATGTAAGAAATAATCTGCCCAACAGATTTCTTGAATTTCAGTCTGGTAAAGTTGCAGACTGGTGCCTCATCATAGAATATTTTAAAATGGACCAGTCTTTGTATCAGAATGAGCCCTGTCACTTATAAACATGTGAATCTTAGGGGGAAACAAAAAATGAGAGTCAAAACAGCTGATGAGGCTTGGAGCTCATCTGTTGCTGGGTTTATAGGGGTACATGTCAGAAAACCATGGAGTATAAGGGGATGGAGATGGAGAGGAAACGACAGGCGGGCAAGGGCCTGCACGGCCAAATGTGCGGCTCATTTTCTTCCAAAATCGTATTTCAGCGGTCGGTAAGGTACCAAAATATCCTTAAAAATCGTCTCATGCCATTCTGTGCCGATGTCAATCATAAGAAACACTCACTTTGCTGTTTTGAGGAAATTATCAGCGGAACTTTTTCTGCGACTTAGCGCAGGCGTCCCGAACCAACCCCGAGCCCTGCCGAATGACAGCGGCGCGGTGGTCAGCGCGGCGTTGAGGCAGAAGGATGTGACGGATCGAGCTGAAACTTTGCGCGGCCATACAATCGACCTTCCCCTATCCGATGCTGCTTTCGGATTTTAAATAGGTGGAAACATTTGGAAGAAAATGAGCGGCACATTTGGCCGTGCAGGCCCTTGCCCGCCTGTCGTTCTGGAAAAGGCATGTTCTAACCCACACTGGTGAAAAGCCATTAGAGTGCACCAGAAAACTATACACATCTCTGTCCTGAGGGTATTTGGTGCTACTTTTCGGGCCGTTCAACGCAAGATTTATAGTTATTTAGAAGGGAAAATTCATTGGAGGACAGGAAGCCACCAACTTCCTACATTCTGTTGGTACAACTGTAAACCCGCGCCTGCCCCCTCTAGACTGTCCATTGTTGTTGGCAACCGCGCCTGTCCCCCCGAGTGCCTCACCGGTTCGTAGCCTCGCAGGAGACGGCACTCGGTCCTCTTTCTGGGCAGGATCACGCCAAGCAGAAGGCATTTTTGGAGAAGCGTGGAAACTGTGATCTAAGCAACGGTAGAGAAAGAAAGCCTGATATTTTGAATCAGGCGTCGTCTTTGATCCATGAGCAATGTTTTCAAAACCCCAGCCGGCCCGATCAACGTCAGGACTAGCCGTATAAACGTATGTAATTCTGTCGTGTTCAAAGTCCGTCTGAAGGTTAGCGGCGACGTATATTTATTTAATTTTTCGGAAAACCAGACTTGAGAGCCAATAAATAGAAAGTGTTCCGGATCATACCCAAAAAGCCCTTTCCAATGGTATAGAAGAGTGACTCATCGGCTCTGAGTCACTGTTCTATACTAATTACCCAATCTACTGTGCATGTAATCACCATATCTTCAACACGGCAATAGGAACGAAAATAGGTTACGCCTACCGATAAATAATATACCAGACTATTCGTAATCGACGGCATTAACATGGGGGTGAAGTTTGAACTCACATTCGTATTTAATGTTTTAAAAACGGATATTTATCTGGCTGTGTAATCGCCACTCTGGAAGGGTGCAACATAGTTTTGAGCACTTAAATGAGCATGTGAGTTAAACACTTCAAGTATCAGTGTAAGAAGAGTACACAGTGCCTTGACCATGACCACACCTTCGTCAAGTCTTTGATTGGTGCAAGGAAGTCAACGACACCACTCCAGATTGTTCCACCATCGCTATCCAGCTGGTAGGTAACGTTATTAAGAAGAGTAAGGCTCTGCTTATCCTCGCATTGTCTCCAACCATAGTATTTTGGTATGTATTTGTAATTGAGATTAAACTGGAAACAGAAAAAGAAGAGCACTGTTAAAACTCTCTCCATGAACTCTCTATTCACTCTAGAAAACGCAGATGTGCAACTTATTGGCTGAGCCCTCTTAGCTATAGCTTTAGCTTAAGTTTAAACTGCGAAGCCTTTACAACTCACTCCGAGGGGCACCAGGCCGAACCAAGTTGGGATTCGGCAGGGTAGGCAACTGACCAGTATGGACAAAACGCTACCTTATGGCTTTCAATCTAAAGAAAACACATGTGAGCCATAAAACAACTTTTCATTATGACTTTAAAAGTAAACGTAATTTATGCAGATGACGTATTGGCAAAAATATTCAAATACAAATGACAGAAGTAAGTCACGAAATTGAATGTTGTTGTGTTGGCAAAACATAAAACTCAGGTGGGATTCGTAAAAAAGTAAGTCGAGCGGGGTAAGAAACGAAATCACGA